AAAAATTTGACACACCTTCAGCGTTAGACCCACTAATAAGTGACATCACATAGGGTACTTCTGAAATGAGATTTCCAGCACCAACAAGAAATGAGGGTTGAGACACAAAGGTTTCCAATGTCTGGAACCTCTCAGGACAAACACCCATGAGAGCTGGCACAACCTGACAGAGTGAAAGAGACTTGGGTCCCCAGTCTATTTCACCACCAAAATGTGCCCCAGGAAGTGCCCCTTCTGGATGGTGGAGACCAAAAAAAAAAAAAAAAATACTCTCACTGGTCATAAAGCAAAACTCTTGGGAAACAAAACTAAACAAAAGAATAAATCTCCCAGCTTATCGAAGCCTTGGTTCTCTGGGAGCCACAATAACCTAGGAAGGACGTGTCATGGGGTTGGGGACTGTGCATTGTTTACAGTGTACCTGCTTGCATGGAAGTTTCTGATGCTGGTGGGTGACCTAGTGTCAGTCTATCTATTCCATGACCAGCTCATCCTGTCATGGGAATCCTCTTCCGGTGGCAAGAGCTCGAACAGCTTTTAAATGCTTGATTTGTGTCCACCAATTTTGTAGCTTTATCTTCCAAGATGTCCCTTAGCAACAGACGACACACATCAGTAATGATATGGACAAAGGAAAACAACCACCATTTCTGGGATGAAATGGATCAGTAATAAAAGGGTACTCAACCAAATTGAATTGGTTGAACCAAAAAGCCACTAAGCCCAAGGAACAAGTTTCACAAATATTGTCTCCTGCTCATTGAAACTGAGAGAGATAGGGACATTCATCATGCTATTTTCTTGGCCTTGGCAAATAGCAATTCCATAGCTGACATGGTAAGATTTCTTAGTTTCTGCTGGCTATCTGTCATGTGTCCCAGGAAAGTCTCAGCTGTGGCAGAGTCCCAGTGAGTGGTGTCCAGCTTGTCCTGCTGTCTACACCAGCTTTTGGGGAGCAAGAATGTCCCATCCCCTTCTTGAGGAGCAATAGTTCCTGGATCCTTCGAGGTCCTTCTAGCTGGAGTAAGAATCAAATCATATGAGATAGATGAACAGGAGAAATTAAAATTTAATAGTATATTTGTGGAGAAACCACACTGACATGGCAGTCAGGCATAAAGGGTATAAATGTCAATTTGAATTAAGGAAAAGGGGGTAGGGGTCTGGGAACTCAAAGGGAAAAAAAGTAATTCACAGAAAGATGAAAACCAGTAAATGCTTGTAAACAAATGTTTGCTCTGCAATGAAGTTGGGTTACTCAGATAACATTTATCCCTTGTAACAACCCTTGTTCTGTAAAGACCCTCCAACTGAGATTCTTGTATGTAATAAAGGAGTGGGAAAAGTTTTTCTGGAGCCCACAGGGTCTTGACTGGCTTTAATTCAGGATAATCTTTCTGTCAGATGGCCCATCTTGGGGTGGCCTACCCACAGCCCTTATATCTCTGTGTTGCGTGTGAGAGCTGAACCCTCTCCTGGGATTGGGGCCCCAATGAACCCTGGGGCTTCTGTCTACAGTCATGAAACTATGAAGGGATGATGGGAAGGAATATTGGCCTCCCCTCAAACTTTTCCTTCCCTCCTTTTCTTTCTTAAGTTTGATTGAGGTGTAATTGAGAGAAAATAACCCAATACGCTTAAAGTGCACAGTTTCACACATTTTTCTTGTTGTTTTTACTACTTCTAAAATCTTACATACAGTACAACTTTGTGGTGGTGTTCAGTTCTATGTGTTTAACACATGGATCATTTCACGGAACCACAACCACAAGCATGCAAAGCAATGCTATCACCTCGCTGGAGAGGTGTTTAACTCTGACTTTGGTTTCTTTGCAGGCAGTCCAGCTGGTGAGGTAGGACTTCAAGTGCTGATGTGGCTTCTGTGGACTGTGGTTCCCACATGCACTGGTCCATCTTTCTTGCAGGTGCTCCTCGGATGTACCCCTGTGGGTGCCATCCAGTTGCCAGTTTGTGACTGATGAAGGTCTTCACCAAGTTCTCAAAGTTGGGGTATTCTCTCCAGGGTCTGAACAGGAGTGCACACTGGGGTGCGATCCTGGGAGATCAAGGGTCCCTTTCTTCAGCTGCTTTCTCTTCTCCACCTCCCCTCCGCCCCCAATTCCCTCCCAGCTTTCAGAACCTCTATCTCTTTTCTTCCTGGTCCTTTGGTTAAGAAGCTTGGAGAACTGACGCTTTCCTCTTCCCAGTCTGCTGTGTACTTCCTGTGATTGGGTTCGCATCCAGGGCCAAGCAGCAGAAGAAGAAAGAGAGAGAAGATGCACTGGTATTCCTCGCCCTTTCCCAAGGTCTTGGGAACCAAGCTCTTAACAAGGACCTTCCTCCTTCAGAGTTCCAGCGGTTGACCCCAGCAGCTGCAGGTGGAAGTGCAGCTTCTGTCTTGAAGCTTGCTTGCTGGAAACCTGGTAGAAGGGAAAGAAAACACAAACATTGAGAAAACTCAGGGAATCTGAACCCCATTTTCCATTAGTGCTTCGTTGTTTTCCTCCTCCGGAGCTCCTAAGATCCCTGCTGAGCCTGAACTTTCAGGATATGGGGTATAGGGTTCATATTCAGACAGAAGAATACAGAAGGATATAGAAGGAAGCATTACCAGGAAACTTACAGTTGGATTCGTCCTATACTTGGTCTGGTTTCCTTTTCCAGTCACTTGCTAAGGTTCCTATTGCAGGATGCTCAGATCATCATTCCACGTATTCTGTTTGGGCTCCTAGTTGTAGTCATGAGGAGAAGTCTGTGCAGTGTGTCGACTTCATCTGACCCGAAATGGACCCTGTAGCATAGATTTGCAAGGGCAAAACCTTGGAAACCAGTCAACAGCTAACGATACAGGAAGAGTTAATTATGCCACAGCACACAATAGAACATTAAGGCAGCTATTGAAAGGATTAAGTAAACACATGTGTAATGGTTTCCAAAGGGTTCACAGTAAAATTTAAAACCTTTTTATTGAGTATAATATACACACAGAGAGTGCACACGTCAGGCATGCACAGCTCCATGTATTTATTTATTTATTTATTTTTTAATTTTTTTTTTTACAAATAGTTTATTGTCAAATTAGTTTCCACATAACACTCAGTGCTCATCCCCAAAGTGCCCTCCTCCATGCCCATCCCCCCTTCCCCCCACATCCATCAGTCCTCAGTTTTTGTCAGCATTCAAGAGTCTCTCATGGTTTGCCTCTCTCCCTTTCCCCCACCATTTCCGCCCTTCTTCTCCCCCTTGTTCCTCCATCAAGTTCCTCCTAATCCTCCTATACGTGCAAACATATGATATTTGTCCTTCTCTGCCTGACTTATTTCGCTCAGCATAACACCCTCAAGGTCCATCCATGTTGCTACACATGGCCAGATTTCATTGTTTCTCATTGCCATGTAGTATCCCATGGTATAGATAAACCACATCTTCTTGATCCATTCATCTGTTGATGGACACTTAGGCTCTTTCCATGTTTTAGCTATTGTGGAGAGTGCTGCTATGAACATTGGGGTACATGTGCTCCTATGCCTCAGCATTTCTGTATCCCTTGGGTAAATTCCTAGCAGTGCTATTGCTAGCTCCATGTATTTAAAGAAATAAAACACACTCGTGCAACCAGCACCTAAATCAAGAAATAAAAATTTCCATTCCTCAAGAGGATCTTTATCTTCACAAAACATTTGGGGGAAACTAAGGCAGCTAGAGATGATGCAGAAGGCCACCTTCAAACATCTTTACTCTGGAATTTAGAAGATGCCTCTGCCTGCATGTGAGAAAGCATAGCCTGTAGGTCAAGAATGGACGAAGGTTAAAGAATGAGGCACAATACGACACACCTAATTCACATGGTGTTTTGCACCCACATACTCAGAGCCCCAGTCAGCTATGTTTTGGCTCAATCTCAATTACAATCAGATACCAACAACAATCAGACATTTGAGGCAGATGCATTACATGAAAGAGAAGGATCAAAGCAGACCAGACCAAACCAAACCAAAACATGACCGCAATGAGGAGACTTTCGAAAACATCAGCAAGCAGAAACAAAAAAAGTAGCTTTTGACATAAAAATATAATTCCCAAACTAAAAATTTCATCCAAAGATTAGAAGGGAAGTTAAAAGCACTAAAGAAAATAAGACCTTCCCAAGAGGTAGAATAAAAATGTGGAAAACATAAAAGAAAAAAAGGAGACAAAAGAATTGATTCAGAGAGGAGAGGGAAATGGAGCAGGGGACAGTCAAAGGGAGGGGACACCTGAGGGAAGAGGGACACCTGTGGGAACATAATGTAGGAGTCATTAGCATAAGCAGTTTGGGGCTGGGAAGTGGCCAACAGCCCACAGTTGGGAATTCTGCCAATGAGTTGGCAGAGAAAGCATCTAGGGCACAATGAGGCTGCCGGGAAAAGGAAACTTCTCCTTCCTTATAATCCCCCATGGCACTTCTGCCTCAGAAGGACTCAGGACCTTGGGGAGACCCCGAGAGGGAGGGGCAGTGGGTCAGGATCTGGGCTGGACCAGCGCCCAGGGAAGGAGGGATGGTCTGGGATGCGTTGAGGTGGGCTGCATGAAAGGAGGTTCAGTATGGGGTTGAATGTCCAGTGAGGCTGGGTGTGAGCCCTGAGCACTGATTCTTCCTCGCATGCAAACCTGATGTATGCCATCCATCCCTTGGACCCAACTCTGAGGTTCTGGTGTCCCCTCCCTGCTGCACTGTGTCACTTGGTTTGCTGGCAGCCGGCTCCCCAGGTCCTCATGCACAATTGCAAAAGCACCCTGACCAGTGGGTTGCTTTGCTTCTCCAAATCACCAAAGACACACGATGACGTCAGACATATGCTCCCAAAGAAGGCACTGATTTTCTTCTAATTAATGAAATTAGGAAGTAACTGAAGGAAAAATATAAGGGAAGTAGATGAGAGAAACAAACAAAAAAAAATGATTTACGGAAATAGCAGGCGCTTTGCTTCTGAGCTCATTTCGGTCCCTGGAGGGCAGTTGGCATTCGCTGAGCACCAGGGAGACAACCCAGGCAGGCAGGATATGTGGCTGTTTCTAGTTCTGTTCCTTCCCATCGTCCAAGGTGAGTGGTGTGGACCCTTCAGAACGGAGAACCTGGGGCGCCTGGGTGGCTCAGTCGGTTGAGCGTCCGACTTCGGCTCAGGTCATGGTCTCACGGTTCGTGGGTTCGAGCCCTGCGTCAGGCTCTGTGCTGACAGCTCAGAGACTGGATCCTGCTTCGGATTCTGTGCCTCCCTCTCTCTGATCCTCCCCTGCTCATTCTGTCTCTATCTCTCTCTCAAAAATAAATAAAATATTAAAAAAAAAACTGAGAACCTGTAGGATTGGGGCAGAACACAGACAGGGTCTGTCCCACAGGGACACCGTAGGACCTTTCATTCATCCAGATACTTACTCTTTAAAAACTTTTTAGGAAAAAACAAGTAAACAAAAAAAGCTTTTTAAGGGCACCTGGGTAGCTCAGCTGGTTAAGCACCAGACTTGGTTTCAGCCCATGTCATGATCTCTTGGTTTGTGAGTTTGAGCCCTGCATTGGGCTCTGCACTTAATGTGCTCAGTCTGCTTGGGATTCTCTCTCTCCACTCTCTGCCCCACCCCTGCTTGTGAACTAGCTCTCTCTCTCTCTCTCAAAATAAATTAATAAACTTTAAAAAATTACAAAAAAAGTTTTAAAAAGTTTTTGTCACCTGAAAGGTGCTTAGTTAGGTGTTGGGAAAAGAAAATAAAAAAGAAATAACATAAATGGTGTCTGTCTTCTAGGGCACTGTGTCTTCCCCAGCAGATAGATTGATAGACAGATGATGGTTAGTTTGATGGACGAATGGGTGGATGGATGGGTAGATGGATGGATAGATAATAGTTAAATGCATGAATTCCTGAAGAAGTTTTAAGGAGCTCAACCTCCAGCTGAGACCCACTCAATCAAGGTGGGGTTCAGACATCTGGATCACTTAAAAGCCTGCACAACTGGTCTTGACTTGTCCCTCGAGCTGGTAAACCTTCTTCTGAATTGCTCAGAGTGCAGATAGGAAGACAGGCCATGAAACCTGGGTGTGACAGATTCTTTGGAGAGTTGCTACCCCTGCCCCACCATACCAGACTGCCTGAGTCTCTGCTCTCCATGAGCCAAAGACTAGACCGTTGTCCCCGTTGTCCAGAGTGTTTAGGGTGACAACTAAAACACTTTGAGTGGTGTCACCAAGGAGGGAAAGCCAGAGGTTAGAAGGGTATTTTGGGGCTGTATTTTATATCCTTGGAGGCAGCTCATGCTTGATGCTCACAGAGGATAGGAGCTAGTATAGGACCATTTGGCTGCCCCAGCTCTGCTCCCTGTCATTCGACAGAACCACAGGTTTTTGGGGCTGGATGCAGATAGTGTCTCTTCTGGAAAGGAGGTTATCACAGGAAAGAAAATGACCTAATTTATTCATCCATTGACTTTGTCATCATATGTATAGGAGAGAAAAACTCTGAAAGGGACATTTCCTGGCAGACAATTTTGAGAAAACTTGCATATTATTATATTCTTAATGTGGAAGTTCATGTGGGGATAGAAGTGTTACAAATGTATATTAGTTATAATTGCAACATACCACAGACTGAGTGACTTAAACTATAGAAATTTATTTTCTCACATTCTGAAGGCTGGTGAGTCAAAGATCAAGGGGCAGGCTGATTCAGTTTGTGATGAAAGCTCTCTACGGTTTTCAGTCAGCCATCTTCTCATGGTGACCTCCTCTTTGTGGATAAGCAAAGAGGGAGAGAAGGAGTGAGACAGAGACAGAGACGGAGACACAGAATAAGGAAGAGAGAAACTCTCTGATGTCTTTTCTTATAAGAGCACTAATCCCATCCTGAGGTCTCCATCATGATCTCTTCCAATCCTAATGTCTTGCCAAAGGACCTGTCTCCAAACACCATCACATGGGGGTTTAGGTCTCCAACATATGAATTCTAGCACAACACAAACATTCAGTCCTCCACAACATAGAGGCAGAAGTGATCAAAGGGCAAACAGGGCTAGCTCATCTGTAGTCAGTTTGACATCTCCACCACCCCTTCTTTTAAATTAAAAAAAGTTTTTAAAAGTTTATTCATTTTTGAAAGAGAGTGAGAGAGACAGAATGTGAGTGGGGAGGGTCAGAGAAAGAGGGAGACACAAAGTCTGAAGCAGGTTCCAGCTCAGAGCCTGACACAGGGCTTGAACTCACAAACCCTGAGCCAAAGTCAGATATGTAACCGACTGAGCCACCCAGGTGCCCCACTGCCACCCCTTCTAACTCCTCTTCCAAGTCACTAAGCAGAATCCTGGAATCACATCTCCTCCAATCGCCTTCCTTTTGTGGGCTGGAGTTTGTCAATGGAGGTATTTGCTAGATATTAGGTGATTTCTGTGGTGGATTTGACCCCACTGGAGTTTTGAAGAATATAGGTCTGTCTTGTGGACGTTCTATTCCTTCTTTGACTGTTATTCAATGTTTATTGGAATTATTTATGTTACAGGAGGCTGTGGTTTTTCATCAGGCAATGGAGTGTGGTGGTGACAGGCACATGTATTTGTGTTTTTCAGGCTCATATCCCCTCAGGGCGGTGTCAAATGCAGTCAGTGGCCCTCTGCGGGGCTCACTGATCGTGCAATGTCGCTATGATCCTGGGTGGGAGACCTACAAGAAGTGGTGGTGTCGAGGAGCCGAGTGGAGTAACTGTCGTATCCTTGTTATAACCAATGGATCAGAAGAGAAAGCAAAGAGTAACCAAGTGTCCATCAAGGACAATCGGAAACTGCACACATTCACTGTGACCATGGAGGAGCTCAGGTGGAACGATGCAGACACCTATTGGTGTGGGATTGAGAAATCTGGAACTGACCTTGGGGTTGAAGTCAAAGTGACCATTGACCCAGGTAAGAGTATGTAGAAGTGTGGCGGTGTGTCTTCAGGGCCTGCTCTGTCCTGGGCCCTGAGGTTCCTCTCCAGTGACTTCAGTGTCACTCAGTGTGAACTGTCACACAGGGTGGTGGAGTCCTGAGTTCTCCTAGAACCTGACTGACCCCTAGAGTTTGGGGAATGGACAGGGCTTCTCTTAGATGCTCTCATGGCTCCCAGCACCTCCTCCAGGATGGAATCAAGCTTTTCTGGGCACATGTTTCTCTGCACAGCTCAGTCAGTGCCTGGTCTATTTCCCACAGAGATCCAGGTGATGGTCCCAGTTTCAGCCTATGGGCCAAAGGGACATTCTCCCATGGGACCCAGAAACCCCAATTCCTGCCAATGCTTTCCTGACTTCTGGTGCCTTGTGTCTCTGCTTTTTTGGAGGTGGGGGCCGGGACTTCATAGTGGCTGTTCCCACCCCCTATTCCATATCCAGTGTCAGAGGGAAAGGGCCCAACATAATTGTGGTACTGTGAGGATTCCTGAGGTCCAGAATGGCCTCGACAGTCAAAGCACTGTTTAAACCTATCAAATACTTTTGTCCGTATCTATGAGATGATCATATGGTTTTTCTCCTTTAGCCTGTTAATGTGGCATATTATATTTATTGATTTTCTCATGTTCAAACAATTTTGCATTCTTGGAATAAGCCCTACTTGGTGATGCTTATCTTGCTTCTATATCCCTGGTTTCAGCTTCCTGATTTTTGCTTGCAGACTTTGCATTTTTTTCATGAGTGTTTTTTGCCTATAATATTTCTTACTGTACTACCTTTGTCAGGTTCTGGCATCACGATTAGGCTAATCTAATTAAATGGATTTGGGATTGCATCTTCTTTCCTATGTTCTGGAATTTTTTGTGTAAGATGGACATTATTTCTTCCTTGAATGTTTAGCAGATATGTCCATTGAAGCTCTAAGTGTCTGAAGTTTCCTTTCGGAGAAGTGTTTTATTATTTTTTTAAAGTAAGCTCTACACCAAAAGAGGGGCTTGAATTCCCCATGCTGGGATCAAGAGTAGCACATTCTACAGGCTGAGCCAGCCAGCCATCCAGGAGGTTTTTAATAATAGGTATGATTCATTTAAATAATTGTAAGATGATTCTGGATTCCTGTTTCTCTTTGTGCCTGTTTTAGAATAATACATTATTTTTGTCGAGATTTTTTATTCCTCCCGAAGTTTCAAATTTATTGGCATAAACTTGATTAGATGTCCCATTATTATCCTCTTCCCTTATTATCTTACCTTCTTATAATATCACAGGATATTGTGTGATATACCTTTTTTCATTCCTGGTATCGATTATTCAGGCCTCTCCTTTCATCACTAATATATTGCTAGGGTTCTTTTTTTTTTTTTTTTTTAAATAACTGTTGCCTTTTTGACTTCTCTATTTTCTATTTCCTTTCAACTTCATTAAATTTTTTCTTTTCTCCATATTTTCTTCCTTTTCCTTTCATCTGAAAGTGACCATGCAGTGTCACTATGGCCCAGGGTGGGAGACCTACGTGAAGTCCTGGTGTCAAGATGCTGATTTGAATAGCTGCAACATCCTTGTTCAAACCTCTGGATTAGAGCTGAAGAAGAACCATGTGTCCATCAATCAAAAAAAGCACACATTCTCCATGACCATATGGGGGGAGTAAAACAACTTTTGAGAAAAATGAGCTATTGTTTTTCTGAGTTGCTCCCAGGCATTTAACAGGATGGCAACCCTGCTTACACCCGAAATCTGGAAATTTAGATAAGGACCCAAGCTTAGAATTCTTCCATAAGTTCTTACTTTGCTTTTCCTGGGGGCACTTTTTAAATTAACCGCTTGGGGGGGGTGGGTGGGCATGGAGGAGGGCACTTTGGGGATGAGCACTGAGTGTTATGTGGAAACTAATTTGACAATAAACTATTTGTAAAAAAAATAAAAATAAAAAAATAAAACAAAGAAAAATAAATAAATTAACCGCTTGGAGTTGATTCTGTGAAAAATCAGTGACCTCTTCCCTGACCCCCTTGTAAGTCATAGGGGCCGTCACCCTGCTCTCAGTCTCACGCTCACTCCTGGTCCAGGATGGGGACTGCTCTTCCCCAGGCTCACTGAATGCCTTTCCCTTGAATCTATAAACAATAAATTTTGAGAATCTGCTCCATTGTGTGAGTGTATTGAAATTCTGCCTTCATTTAAAAAGACCCTGGGTGTTTCATGTCCACACAATGGGAACTTAACTACTGAGAGCTACCTAACTACCCACCCTTGTGGTTGTGCCTCCTCAACCAGCAGTTGGTGACCTGAATATTGTTAATTCAATAAACCAGCTCTGGCTTCTAAATACACCCGGAGGAACTCAGGCAAGTGGCTGCAGACACAGCTTGGTGTGGGATTAGGAGCATTGAAGATGACTGTGGAGTGACCATTGACCCAGGGAAGTACTTTTTCGTCATGCACCACTGGCATGTCCTCAGGAGGAGGGAGCTAGTAGAAAACTGGGAAGATATGCCAACTTTTATATTTATTTGTGGATTTTTAGAAAGAGATTTTTAAAAGTACACAAAAATGTAAAGTAGAAAAATATGTTCTGTCTTCTACCCTACTCCCTCACCCAAAGGTAGGACTGTAACCAGTGTGTAGGTGTGTGTGTGTGTGTGTGTGTGTGTGTCCTTAGGAGAAATTCTATGTATTAAAGCATACATGTGTGTATATTCTTTCCCTCCCTCAAAGAAAAATACCATATATTGTTCTATAGTCTGCCTATTTTCACTTAATGTAATTTAAAAACCATTCCATAACAATATCTACAGATTTTTGTTTTTAATGGCTTCATAGCATTTCATGGTATCTGTTATATCATGATTTGTTTAAATTTTTTGTTCATGATAGACATTTCAGTTATTTTGAATTTTTTTTTTTTACAAATAGTTTATTGTCAAGTTGGTTTTCATATAACACCCAGTGCTCATCCTCACAAGTACCCTCCTCCATGCCCATCACCTCCCCTCCCCCCCACCCCCTAGAACTGATCCAAGAATTCAGCAAAGTTGCAGGGTACAAAATCAACGTACAGAAATCGGTTGCATTTTTATACACCAACAATGAAGCAACAGAAAGAGAAATCAAGAAACTGATCCCATTCACAATCGCACAAAAAACCAAAAAATACCTAGGAATAAACCTAACCAAGGTTATAAGAGATCTCTATGATGAAAACTATAGAAAACTTATGAAGGAAACTGAAAAAGACACAAAGAAATGGAAAAACATTCCATGCTCATGGATAGGAAGAATAAATATAGTTAAAATGTCATTACTACCCAAAGCAATCTACACATTCAATGCAATTCCAATTAAAATTTCACCAGCATTCTTCTCAAAACTAGAACAAACTATCCTAAAATTTGTATGGAACTACAAAAGACCCCGAATAGCCAAAGTAATATTGAAGAAGAAAACCAAAATGGGAGGCATCACCATCCCAGACTTTAGCCTCTACTACAAAGCTGTCATCATCAAAACAGTATGGTATCGGCACAAAAATAGACACCTAGACCAATGGAGTAGAATTGAGAGCTCAGAATTGGACCCAAAAGTATACAGCCAACTACTCTTTGACAAAGCAGGAAAGAGTATCCCAATGGAAAAAAGACAGCCTCTTTAACAGATGGTGCTGGGAGAACTGGACAGCAACATGCAGAAGAATGAAACTAGATTATTTTCTCACACCACACACAAAAATAAACTCAAAATGGATAAAGGACCTGAATGTGAGACAGGAAACCATCAAAACCCTAGAGGAGAAATCAGGAAACAACCTCCTTGACCTCCACCGCAGCAACTTCTTACTTGACACATCCCCAAAAGCAAAAGAATCAAGAGCAAAAATAAACTATTGGGACCTCATCAAGATTAAAAGTTTCTGCACGGCAAAGGAAACAATCTATTTTGATTTTTTTGCAACTACATGCAATTGTGTAATGATTCTCCTTGCATATGGGGATTGATACACATTTATGGATATATGTGTAAGTATATTCCCGGAAGAAAAAGTAGCTGTGTTACTGGTCTGTGCAGTTTTCAATTTGGTGCATATTACCAAAGAGGTTATAACATTTCTATCCTTCTCTGAATATGTTAATAAACACCCACCCCATATCCCCATCCTGGGATGAGGTCAATTATTTATCTTTACACTCTGATTGGCAGGCTTGGCATATTGATGCATGTGACCTGGGCCCCCAGGCAGTGGAGAATGCTGTAGCAGATGGGGTGAATGAGACAAGGGAGAAGGGGAACCAAAAGTCTGCCAAGCAGACAACCACCAGGTAGGTGATGCTGAGTGATCTGAGAACCAACAGACACCTGCTCTCAGCATGAGGGGGAGGTTCCAGGCTGCCCCCTGCTCCAGCTTGCAGGCCCTCCCAGTCACCTCCCTCCCCACACTAGAATTTGGCAAATATCAACTTTTATTTATAAAGGAAATAGCATCTTCAAAAGCTTATGAGTGAAAAGAAAAGAAAACTACACAAGAACAAATTAAAAAAAGAGCATACTTCATGAAAGGCAATGCCCAAGGAAACATAAGCAAGTCAGCTTATATAAATAGTTCTATTCAGTCTCAAGGAAATGAGAGACAACAGGAGGATTCTAGAAATGTAAAGAGAGTGAAGCACAAGATAGGGTGATGGAAAGCAAGCAGGCTGACCTTGGAAAAGAGAAGGAGTGGAAGAAAAAGAGCCAACATTGACCAGAAGAAAGAATTAGGGGAAAGAACCACAAAACCTAATAATAAGTGTGCCTGGAAAACACACAGACATGGTGCCCTGTGGAAATTTCATAAAGTGATTTTTAAGTGAACTAGTATAAAATGTGTGGAGAGGCAGACGTAGGTACAGGAGACAGAGAGGTGGTGCCACAAAGGTACCCTGGCTATTCCCTTGGAGGAGAAAAGAGAAGCCAAAGTAAGCATAATTGAATTGAATTAAAAATTATCTGGGAACAAAGGGATCTTTCAGGCTGTCATTTAAAGCCTACCAGTGACCCAGGAAAAGAACTGATACAGATGATCCACACCTACAATAGTATGAAGTTACTGAACCTTGTGGATAAAGACAGAATCATATAAGCTGGTATCAGGAACGATGACCAAATCAGAAGGTCATATCAGAATGATCACATTGTGTGTGACAGAAATAGGCTAGTCTCATAATAACACTGCATCCCAACAGACAGTGAAGGAGAATCTATATGTTCTGAGCAAATAGCAGAATATTCTGGGAATATTCTGACAACAATCTAATGCATGAAATGCAGTGCCCTGAGTCCTTTAAAAAGAGAAAAATCTACATCATGATGAAATATTGCCAACAAAAGCTCAGTTAAATAGTGAAAAAAGAGAAGCTATGGTTAGCAATGAATATATTTTAAAATAGACAAAAAACCCAAGCAATGGTGGGAAATATTACAGGAGAGAGTGTAAATATCATAGATGCAAAGAACACTATTCTGACAAAATCAGCCAGCATTTTCCTTCCTATCCAGTCATGCCCACCAGAGAGAACAGTGGTGCTGGCAAGCCATAGCAGCCCTTTGGGGGCCATGAGTTGGTGGAAGTTGAATGTCACAGATCCCAAGACTCATCTGCCTTACTACCAATTCTTGGCCAGGACTCCTCTGGCCCCAGCTCTCTGTGTTATCTGAGACTCACTTCAACAAAGGGGCGCATATAGACAAATAAATACACTCCCACAGACTCTCCAGTCACCAGGATGCAGAGCCGGACTTGTTTTTCTCTGAGGGCTTCTGGGTAGAAAACTCTGGGTTCTGAGACCTCATCCCCAGAGCTTGAATGAGAGGGTCTCTCTTGAAGAGACAGACACCACCACCTGGGCCACAGGATCAGGACTGAGCCCATCTAGACCTTCCATCACCCAGTCCTGCACCAGTAAGCTGTGCATCATCTGCACAGAGGTTTCCCCATGGTCACTGTGAAAATGAAGGTCTCCAGATGGTCTATGATGGACACAGGGCCTCTCCTCTGCCTTCTCACCGATGTGGTGGCTTCCACAAGTCTTTTACAGGCAAGGAGGTACTGTTTGTGGCACCGGAAATTGATGTTCATCTTCCATTTTTCCCTCAGATGGAGATGGCATGTTCAGGGATCCCTCCTGCCTCCATGGTGCCTACACTTTCTTTCAACCCTTCAGAAGCAGGGAGCCTAGAAGACACAGACTGATGTCCTTCTCCTTACCCAGACCAGGGACAGGGTCCTAGTCGGTTCCCCAGGAGTCACCTCCCACTCTGATGATAAAGCAGGTCTTATTGAGCAATTCCACGAGTAGCCAATGCTCCCTGCCATTGATCATTGTCTTTATAAGGAACATTATACTTTCACTGACAGCCACTGCATGTAAGGCAGGTACAGTCACATCTCCTCTGATTCTAGAAAAACTGGGCTATAGACAGTATGGGGGACATTAGTCACTTTACTTTACACATGAGGAAACTCAGGCCAAATGGAAGACATTTGCCCAGTGCCACAGAGCCAATGACACCTGTACCTGAACTGGAAATAAAGTCTTTGGATCCCAAGTCTGGTGTAGTTTCTACCCTCCAACCTCTGGATGTACAAGGTTACTTCTGTCTTGGTGTACCTACTCTACGTTGGAGTCTATTCCAAATGAGATCACCATACAAAGATCCAGCATAACAAATATGGCACAGACACCATGCTAGTCTAAGCTTTTCATCTTAGCACTCTCTGATCTATTGAAATGTAGGAAAGGACCCCCCCAAAATTTCCTCCACCATTATTCTAGACACATGTAAAGACTTCTCAACTGGTGAGTCCTTGGTATTTTCCCTGATTAGAGCTTTGACATATGAATTTAGGGAAAACATGGATTTATAGTTCTAATAAAATGGTTCAAAATAAAATACGGACACACAAAAAAAGAATAGACAAAGCCCAGGAAGAGAAAAATACCCAACCCCCCCCAAATCTTTATTGAGAGGAACTATGTATACTTTTGAAAATAAAAAAGAAAATGGCCTGGTTGTTATTTTTTGATGAGTAAGTAAGAAGATGTTAAACATGAAGGACCCGGTATTCTGGGCTTGCAGTGCTCACTCGAGAGAGGAGTTGGGTTGGGAGGCTGGGAGTGGAAAAGCCAAAGGTCAGGTCAAACCCAGGAGTGGGTGATTGTGGGTCTGAGCTGCCTGGAAGATGGACAGCATCACAACTGTGATGGGAAGATTGGAACTTCTTAGAATGCCACGTCTAGATGGGATAGTCCCAATGGTCCCTGGAGTCCCTGCACCTAAGGATCAGTGGGGTCAAGGTACAAATGGAGGAGCAGAAACGAACTGTTTCTTGTGACCACTGGGTAAGTCCCCTGTATTTGGAGTCCACTGATGTAAATACAGGGATAAGTTGTTTCAAAGCCCCTCTCCGCAAAGCACTTATACTTAAAGAGGGGGAAAAGAGTAACTTCAATGAGTTTTGTCAAATTTATAGTGATATATCCATACCTGTATTAAGATCTTGTTTGAGATGAAAGAAACTCAGGCATTCCATGCCCTAAAAAAGCTGATTATACTGTGCATTTAACATGTGAATACTGTAATATTTGTGATATACATATACAATGATACATTTTTTTAAAATACAGAAAATAATTTCCAGACATAGATCCCTATACTTTTCTTTACCTCTCTTAGCCATCAGTGAAATTTTGCATCTACATAAAGGGAGCCCTTGTCATGACCTCTTTGAGGGGGTAAAAAGGCTTATCCAGGCCCCTCCCTTCTACTGTCCCATCTGCTTGTTGCTGGAAACAATCTAAATCTATGTTGGACTTAGAGTCACTTCACAGCCTCTAGAATGGTTGGCTCATACTCTCACATATAAAACATTGAAACAGTGCCCCCCCCAACACCAAAAAAAAAAAATCTCCAAAGAACACAGGAAAACCACAGATTTAATAGGAAATGGACAGTGCAAACAGATGGGATGTGGGTCAGGTGATAGTCCAACCCTGCCTTCAATCTTTTACACCCAGGCAATTCTTTTCCGTGAGGTGCTGATGCAGCAGAAGGTGGAATTGTCAGGCCTCCGTACAGCTGGCCCATCAGGGGTCTTTGTCCATGTGGACATATTATGAAACTTTTTGATTTAATTGAAGTTTTCTACTTTTTGGTTGTTCTCGAATTGGAAAACTCATCATTGGCCAGAGTCCTGAATGATGTAATAGTCATTTATCCTTGGCAGAGACACTCGAGGGTAGCAAAGAGAGGAGGTATCAGGAGGGTCCACACAGGAAGATTCTCTGCTGCTACATTGATGGCCAATGTCCCCGACCTGTGCAGAGGAGTGAGGGAGCCAGAGTTTATTCCTGAGATCAGGATGAGGGGGGGTCCTCAATCTAACAGGGACCCTCATCTCTCTTGGAACTATAATCACTGCCCATTCCCTGATCAGAGGTCAGAGGGTGTGGGAGTGTCTGTGACATAGGGGCTGTGGTTCCCCTGCTCAGGCTGACATTATTCTCTTGCTGGAGTTTCCCTGACTCCCCATAGCACAGTAACAGCAGGACCCAAGCAGGGACACCTTTGTTGCTGCATCCCCTGACATCCTCTCCACCTCACCAGCAGGCCACCCAGGACCAAGTGTTTCCCCTTGCCTGACTTTTTGATTCTATATCTGTCTCATCTTGTGTAAATTCTGTCCATTTTCCTTCCTTCCTTCCTTCCTTCCTTCCTTCCTTCCTTCCTTCCTTCCTTCCTTCCTTCCTTCCTTCCTTTTCTTCTTCTTCTTCTTCTTCTTCTTCTTCTTCTTCTTCTTCTTCTTCTTCTTCTTCTTCTTCTTCTTCTCCTCCTCCTCCTCCTCCTCCTCCTCCTCCTCCTCCTCCTCCTTCTCTCTCTCTCTCTCTCTCTCTCTCTCTCTCTCACTCTTTCATGTTTATTTTTATATTTGAGAGAGAGAGAGAGAGAGCAGGTGAGGAGCAGAGAGAGATGGAGACAGAATCTGAAGCAGGCTCTTGGCTCTGAGCTGTCAGCACAGAGCCCAACTTCTGCCCATCTTTCAAGCTAGGATATAATATTACCAAACATAATAGAGGGAAATTTTCACTTCTCTTTCAATCTGGCTGCTTACCTTCTAGCTTCTCCTGGGAGGAGTTTCTCCCAGCTATGACCCCCACCTGGTAGCATACAGGAGGTGCACTATCTCATACACCCTGGACAGTGGGCACATGGTCTATTGGACAATTGGGCCCTTGCTCACATATGTCCCCTTGGCAGTCCCCATCAGTATCCAAGAGTCTGATGCTTTCACCCTCTGCCTCATCCCCTCCTCCACAAGCAGTGTCAGGAGCCCCCAGAGGCCAGCTCTGTTCTCTCCTGCCTGCCTTGAGCAAGATTTGTCATGTCCATTTCACAAAGGGGTTTTCTTGAGGGAGAGGACATGCTGCCTTGCATTTCCTAAAACTATTTTTGAACCCACTGTGCTCTTTCCCCACATTCCCCTCCCTGTGGGGCTGCTGCCCTATCTTTCCTCTTGCAGGTTTCTTCCTGTGACCTTTAGTCCCCTAAAAGTCCTGTATCCTCCACCCCCACCCCCAACAAAACAACTAGTTTCCAAACAGCCACGAGTAGGACAGAAGCTGGTTGTGATGCATAAGCCAAGTGCCTGGACTCATTTGCTCACATGACAGAACACACTGTCCAGCGGGGCAGATCCAAGGAATAGGGTCTTTGAGAAGGGCAGAAAGACAGACTGGAGCTCAAAGGGAGACCATGGAGGGTGTTCCTGTCAGGAAATGCAGCATCACCATGGCCTGGGATGGAGTGAAATGGAGGCAGAGTGTTTGCCCTTTGATGAAGGAATTAACTGTTCATTGGATGCCTGTTGAGGAGGTGGGCTTCAGGTTGATGGCCTAGCCTCTCTACCATTCTATCCATTGAATAGGTACCTGCTTGACCCTCTGTGGGCAGAATGACTTCCCACTCAAAGATATCCTAATCCCCAGGAACTTGAATGTGTTAGTTTCCTTGGTATAAGAGGATTAATGATGCAGATGGATTTAAGATTGCCAACTAGCTGATCCTGAGATGGGGAGCTGGTCCTGGGATATCTGGGTGGACCCTATGGAATTGTCAGCATCTTTATAAATGGAAGGACATGGGAGAACCAGTGTCAAAGTAATGTGTGTGAGAAGGACTTGGCCACCCCTGCTGGCATATGGAAGAGACCATGAGCCAGGGTTTCAGTGGCCCCCAGAAGCTGGAAAAGATAAGGAAGCACTTCTTAGAACCTCCAGGAGGAACCAGCTCTGCCAGCACCTTGAGTTTAGCCCAGTGAGACTCATCCAAGACCTTGACCTCCAAAACTTTAAGATCATAACATCGTTTTGTCTTCAGCCACCAGGGTGGTGGTGATTTGCTCTAGCAGCCACAGGGAGCTAATCCAGAGCTTGTCCCTTCTGGCAACTGGAGGCTGAAAGCACTTGTGCCTGTTTTGGCTTCTTGGGGGTCAGGAGGCAGGTCTGAAGGAGACCAGAGACTTCTCTCCTACAGCCCAGTTGAACAACTTTGCTTAGGTTTCTAGTGGGGAGGGGGAGCTCTTTAAGGACTCAGAGGTATAAAGAGGGGGCCCAGTGTAGACCTTGCTGTTTCTCCCCTACACAGGAAACATCCAAGGGGACAATGGGGGTCCCTGTCAGAGAGCCCTGAGGGGAGCTGTCCCAGGACAGCAGTGGGGTCTGTGGGGTCCAGCTCTGCTCACCTGCTGTGGGGGTTGATCAGAACAGTGGGCTGGCTGCTGTTGATGCCCTGGGTAAATGAAAGCGAGGAATCTCGATTGACTGATTTTGTTCTTGCCACAGGCTTGGGAGATTCTGTTGGATCAGGGGCTAAACACATGAACAGAGCAAGGTTCTGAGTATCACAGGTGGCTCCCATGGTCTTCTCCCCAACCCACCCCCAGGGGTGCAGAACTTTCTGTCTTAGTGCCACTGCTCAGTCCCATTGGCCTTCTCTTGCATCTTTTTGGTTACTTATCCCAAATATACAATTACTTATTTGCAGATAAATACCAGCACCTTGAGGGTGCTGGTTATGTAGACAATTCACATTCAGTTTCATCTCAGTGTCCTACTGGACACAGCGTGGCATGTCAGAACCATGTTCCCAATCCCTCAAGACTTAAATCAGCCAGGCCAGCTCTTTTCTGAGTCTCAGCCTGGCCTGAAGCAGCCTCGTGCCACCTGCCTGAAGCGATGTGACCCACAAGCTGGCAGGCCCAGGGTTCCCTGTCTCCTGGAGCCACCGAGTGCCCACAGCCTCCAGTTCCCTCTGAGGTCCTTCCCGCCTCCCTGAGGCTTGCTTTCTTACTTCTCCAGGCCTGTCCAGGGAAGGCCGTCTGGGTTAAGGGTCCAGACTCCCGTTCTCTGGCACCAACTCCTCCTCCACTCTTGCACACATCCACCACCTTTTTGTCCTGTTCAGTTAATTTCTAGAACATTCTAAGACCAGCATCCTTCCCCACTACAAACACTTGCATACCATATTTGCATATATTAAGTTTGAAGAAGCTTTTCTTTGCTTTAAAAATGGTCCTGAGTAGCAAGTGTATTACCTACCTAGTGTCTGCGTGCTGGAGACAAGATGCAGGGGTCCGGAAGTGGAGCTGTGGGGTGGGGTCTACAGTTTGACTCTCTTTCCAGGCTCTTCTCTTAGGAGGCCTTAGTGCTTCCGGGGCAGCTCAGGGGTGCCCAGGGTCCCCTCCAAGGATAAAGGCAGCCAGAGGAGGAAGTGCCTGCACCATGGTGGAACCTGCCTTTCCTTCTCCCACAAATGGGTTCACAGTTCCTCACCTGTTCCTTTATGCTGATGTTGCCAGAAGAAGGAGGAGAACAGGAGGGTACATGGAGAGGGTCTTTTTCCTGTAGCTGAGACCATCAAGATCACGGCTTTCTAGTACCTAACTTCTCTCTGCATCCCTGACATTGCCCCATGCAGGCTGGGATGTGCTGAGGGTGGAGGTGATCGGGAAAAGAGGAGATGGCTTCCCTGGACAAGCCTGCTCTGGTCAAGTCTGCCCTTCTCTGCTCCCTCTGGGGAGACCAGATGGAGGCGTGCAGAGATGTGGGGCTTGTTCTTTCTTCTAGTCTTTCCCAGACTCTTGGTGCCTCCCGTATATGCTTGCACATGCACACACTCACTCAGACAAGCACATGTACATGTGCGGTCTCAGACAAGTTTCGAGACTCCTCTCCATCCATCAGGGAAGGCAGAAAAACAATCCTGACTCCTCTGAGGATGGGTCCAAGAGCCCCAGAGCATAGGAGGGGTAGTACCTACCTGGGTTGACAATCACGGAAAACTTGAACCCTATGTCAATACCGGTTTGCTCAATCCCACACCAGTAGGTGTCTTCGTCATCATACCAGAGATCCTCCAAAGTCATGGTGAATATATGTCGGCTGTGATTGTCCTGGATAGACGCTCGGCCCTTTGTCACCAGTTGCTCTGACCCAGTGGTTTTAACAAGGATTCTGCAGGAATGCCAGTTCTTCCCACGACACCACCACTTGCTGTAAGATTCCCATCCTGACTTATACCCACAGGATACGGTCAGTGTACCAGCTGCAGTGCCTCTCACTGTATTCTCCTGGGAAGTGGAGAAGTGGCCTAGAAAACAGAAACCCAACATGCACCTCCTCCTTCCTTCAGCTCAGGGCTGACCTGGGCGCTGCTGGGGCTTCTGGCCCTGCCTTGAAGACCAGCCAGGAGCCTCTGCCCTCTGTCTAATCGCCACATCCTGCCTGTCCTTTCATCCCCTGCAGAATTTCTTTTGCTGTCACCTCCCTCATGAAGTCCCTCTTGCGTCTCCTAACTGCCCACTACAGGGCCTCCACTTACTCACCATCCTACTGACCACTGTCCCCTGCCCACCCTCAAGCAGAACCTCTCTCTGTCAGCACAGAGTGCACACTGCAGACACAGGTGTATTTCTGAACCCCAGAACTGGTGAGACAGAGTGGCCCCCTCCCCATCTATGTCCCTGATAATGGAAAACCTACACACTTACAAATCCTCAGCCTCTGAATTGACACAGAACTAAACACACACTCATACACACACACACACACACACACACACACACCAAACACACTCAGACACGTGATTTCTTATATTTTTACCTACACACCTTGTTCTTCTATGTCTCCATACCTTTGTATAAGCTGTTCCCTCTGCCTGGAATGTGCTTTCTTCTCTGCTTGAAGGAACAAACCCTTAATTCATCCCTCAAGGCTTGGCTCCAACAGTGTCTCTTCTCTGGTTTCCCCAGTTCTGCAACAACTTGGTAGCTCTGGGCACTTTGCTCCCGTCTCGGGTGTTGTGCCTAGGACATTGGATGGCATCTGGTCTTTGGATCGTCCAGAGCAGAAACCCAGGCAGGCTGATATGGTGAGATGAGCAAATCTCCTGAGAGCCTGTCACACCATGGTTTTGCTGCCTGTCTTCCTCCCTGTAGTCAGAGCTCTTCAGAAGAGAGGTTCCCGGCTCAAGCTACAAGTTAAGACCAGTTGTGTAGGCTTTTAAATTATCCAGATGTCTGAACCCTGCCTTGACTGAATGGGTCTTAGCTGGAGACTGAGCATATGTGCTCCTTAAAACTTCCTCAGGAATTCATGCATTTATGTATGATTGTGTGTGTGTGTGTGTGTGTGCACGCGCGTGCATCTCTGTATCCTTTTTTCTATTCATCAATCCATCCACCATCCATCCATCCATCATCTATCTATCCTTCTCTCTGTCAGGGTTGACAAACTGACCTAGAACATGCATACTTTTTGTATTATTTACTCTATTTCCTTTTCCAACACCTAACTTAGTACCTTAAGGACTTAAAACAAATGTTTTTAAATAAATAATCATTTGTATGAATGAAGGCCCCACCATTTCCCCTAGGACAGACCTATCTCTGGCCTTGCCCCAGCCCTGCAGGTGCGGCCCTGAAGCCCCGACCTCACTCACCTTGGACGATGAGAAGGAACAGAACCGGGAGCAGCCGCATGTCCTGCCTGCCTGGCTTGTCTCCCTGGTGCTCAGCAAATGCCAGCTGCCCTCCGGGGAATGAACTGAACATAGAGGCAACCTACCTTCTCTTCTGAATTATTGTTTTTTAGTTTCTCTCATCTACTTCCCTTTAATTTTTTCTTTAGTTACTTCCTTATTTCGTTAAGTAGCTGAAAAGCAGTGCCGTTCATTGGGAGTGTATAGCTGACGTGATGAAGTGTCTCCTCTCTTGCTCCGGCCCCTCAACTCAGCATCCCCTGGAGTCTGACTCTAAAGACCTTCTCTTGGGGGGGGGGGTCCTTTCCCCCGCCCCCCCACAGCACCACCTTCAGTCTGTGCACACCTACTTCCTGTCCACCCCCATCTTTCAGCCAAGTTCTCTACTTCAATTTTATTGGCCCATTGTGGAGCTGTCCACCTTGTTAGCAGCTCACATGTGCTCCAAATGGCATTTCTTGTCATCTTTACTCTTAAAGTCAATCTGTCCCAACACCTGGTCCCTGGGCCCAGGGCTCCCTCTCCACCTGCCCCCACCACTCTAGTCTTCCATAGACAAAGGCCATGGGATCTTCTCTCTGCCTCCTGCCACCCTCAGATGACCTTGCTGGGGTGGGGAGCTTGGAGGTAGAACAGCCCAGGGCTTTGCCAGAGGAGTAGTAGGAGAGGGTGAGGCGGGCCAGCCCTGGGAGGGAAGGGGAGCAAAAATCCCTGTCCCCTTCAAGGTCCTTCTGGCTGGACTAAGAAGCAAATTGACATGAGACAGATTAACAAGAGAAAATCATATTTAATAGCATACGTGCAGGGAGTCCACACAGACATGGCAGTCAGGCAAAAGAGGCACCAATGTCATCCCGAATTAAGGAGAAGGGGGTAGGGGTCTGAGATTACCAAAGAAAGGAACCCAATTTACAGGAAGATGAAACCAGTAAATGTTCGGCGCACAAATGTTTGCCTTGCCAGATAGATGGGTCATACTCGGATCAAATTTAAATTTAAACTTCTCTGAAGTTTCACACATTAACAGTTGTGCTGGTACGTGTTTCTTTCCAGTGAACCAGTCTATTCGTCCAGACAGTAGGTCAGTTTATACAAACTCATTCCAGAAGGCAGTGATGCAGATGTATTCACAACATTAGGCCTGTGGTCCAAGTAATCATGTATGAAACAAGAGGCTTTTCTATGGAAACACAATGGTTCTGAGGGGATCAAATGTTAAGCCAGTTTCTGAGTTGTGAGGGCAGCAGGTGGAGCAGACTTCTAGATGTTGGACTCGGAGCATCTCAGATAGAGTGAGGGCAGGCTGTGCAAGCAGACAGATCCTCCGGGTTTGTAGTTCAAGTGTGTCTGGTGCTTTCTGCTTGGCCCCCCAGGCGATAGGCACAAAGATTGTGTATGTGTGAGCTAGTGTGGTGATTTCTCTAAGTTTACGTAAGTGGTTTACATTTAGTTGGCAGAACTTCAGGGAAAGGGCAGTTTTCGTTCTAAAGGATTCCAAGTCAGAAAGGTGGGAGAAAGCTCAAAATGTCTGTTTGGAGAGTTGTAGCCAGGCGGTAGAAGACACTAGAAGAAATCAGGACCAAATCCAGTGTATAATGTATAGTAATAAAATCTAAAATGTACAATGATGTGTTGTTGAGACATATTTTCTCTCTATAATCACCCTCACTTTGACCAAGATAACCAAATCAACACAAGTTTGTTTGCAAAATAAGTCATTTCCAATAAAACTTGGCCTGACTATTTACAAAAGTACAGCAAGAATTGTAGTTGACTCTTTAAACCTGCTTTGCTAGAAGTTTTCAGAAGGAATCTCCAGGTGAAGTTTTTTTTTTTTTAATCATTTATTTGTTTCTGAGAGAGAGTGAGAGAGACAGCACCAGCAGGGGAGGGTCAGAGAGAGAGGGAGACACAGAATCTGAAGCAGCTCCAGGCTCTGAGCTAGCTGTCAGCACAGAGCTTCCCACGGGGCTTGAACCCACTAACCGTGAGATCATGACCTGAGCCAAAGTTGGACGCTCAACCAACTGAGCCACCCAGGTTCTCCTCCAGGTGAAGTTTAATAACCTCTTGAGGCCAGGAGCCAAGCCAATTGCTTGCCATCAGCATTTGCCTGCAATGTGTATAGATTTGGGTGAACTCCCCTCTTTTCAAGGTTTCCCCAAACATCCCGAGTTTCCTGCACCTGCCAGGAAATGACTTCTTTACTCACCAGGGAAGGCTGCTGGGAACTCTGTAAACAAGCTGGTATTTCTTTTTTTTTTAATCTTTTTT